CGGAGCTGTTCACGGGGAGTCTCCAGGGCAGCGAAATGAATGAAGCCTGCCTGGTAAAATCAGGGCAGGGGCTTTAGTTGAACGGGGTTAGACCTGCCGATGGGTACAGCCGATGGCCTTGCAGAGATCAGATGAGCAGCGGAGCAGATGGTTTCTGAAGGCTGTTCAGCTCGAGAGGGGGCAGGAGAGTGTTTCGGGGGCCGTTTTGAATAGAAGCGGAGTGATTTTGGGCACAACTCTGGTAATTCTTGAAGGACCGTGTGTCGGGTGCGCCGTCTGTGGCTCGGTTTTCAGCGCTGCCCAGAAAGCCCCACTGCGGTAGGTGCTGCCCGTATGCGCAGCGAGAGCCCGTCCGTGGCCCAGAGAGCTTGCGCTCTAAATATGTAAAGCAAAGGCGCTATCCTGTCCCCGGGACAGATAGGAACCTGACGCCCAGAGCAACTGAAGGGAGTTCCCCGCTGCCCGAGGGGGCGTCCGTTCATGCCGAACGGAGAACTCAGCCCAGGTTCCCTTCTTCCCAGTCTGCAAAACGCACCTTTCTCTGGACCTCTTTGTACAGCAGCGACCTCGGGAAGGCTCTAAGGGAATAACATCCGTAGTTCTCCTTCGAGTTAGTCCGTATCCAGCGTCTGTCTCCCTGCAGGCCTGAGCCTTTGGCACTGGGAGCGTGCCTGAGGATGCTGCGTGTAAGCTCCCCTTCCTTCCTTTCGTGGAGCTCTGTCTTGGTGGGGTTTTATATTGCTGAGTGGTGAAGAGCAGAGGAGCAGCATCTGTCCTCAGTTCAGTAACTCCCTGAGATGTTTTGGGGGCATGCTGTCCCAGATACTGACTGCTTTTCAGTGGGTTGGGTGGGGGGGACCACGAGGACAAGATTCGGTCCTTTTTATGCAAACCCACCCCCGCGGCGAGCAATGGTTTGCATGGAGCGTCGTGGAGGGGTCTCGTGGGGATGCGCGCAGGGTGCTCAGACTAGAGGAAAAAGGGGCAGTGTCCCTTTAAGAGAAAAAGAAAGCAGGAAGTCTGAACAGACGGAAAGTCTCAGCCCCGACTTTCTTCTGTCCCGGCCGTGTCTGGAGATCCCTGGGACCAGGCTGCGTGGCGGGACCGTGGCTGGCAGGCTGCACGGTTAAGGATTTTTGCTGCCCGCTTTGCTTCTGAGCCGGCTGCTGTCTTCAGGTGAGTGGGCATCTTTCACCTTCTGGAGCCTGTCCCAGAGATGCAAAGAGGTAGCGTGAAAGCTACGGTCTGCTCCTCTTGGAGCCTGTGCGGACTGCAGCGCCGCACAGGTTGCTCCGCTGGCTCTGGGAAACCCTGATATGGGGATACAGGACCATGCTTCGTCACTGTGTGTGTGTGTGGGTGTGCACGCGTGTACCCACATTGGTGTCGTGCGGCGTGCGAGCGACGGGAGGACGGTGACGCACGGAAAGGATGTGCCGCAGGAAGCATTTGCTAGATGGGGTGAATGCGACTGGCCCCAGGACAGGCTCACGGCGACTTTCCTGATTGGCATGGAAAGCCTTTCTGCTTTCGGACTGCCCGTCCTGGCCTGAGCGAGAATGATGCCAGGGCGCGCAAGAGACACGCAAGCCTGTTGGTGCGAGGAATGGCTCAGAAATGTCCTCTTCCTCTTCTGGGCGCTGCAGGCAGCCGCTGGAATCGGGGGGCTGAGCGCAAAGGCCAGGCCTCGTGAGCCACCTCGCACGAACAAGGCCGGATTTGGGTGGATGGCAAGGAGCTGTTTGAAAAAAATAAAGTTTTGGTTGGGCTTTAACTCCTTCCCTCCCACCTGGAGCGTTTGGGCTCGAGTTGTAGCGCTCGCACTAGGAAGATAGTCCTGCTGGACCGCCAGCCTCTACGCCGCTTCCTTGGCTTGCTTTCGCGTGGCCTTCTAGCATCCTTGCTGCACCCACACCGAGCATCTGTGCACAGGTTTCCTAGCAGTCGCCTGCAACGCTGCCGTGTATCCGTGGACGGCTAAGCAGAGCCTGCTTGCGGTGTAAGCAGAAATAACCCGAGTCCCAGAGGCAAGGACGAGCGCTGCGGGTTCATTTGCATAGTGGCTCGTTGTGGTTGTAGGCCCAAGGTGGGGGAGCGGCCGCGGGAGCAGCCCGTGTACGGCTTTACTGGTGAACGGGTGCTGGCCGCCAGCCAGGAGGGCTGGGAGCAGGGCTTGGCTCGTTGCTGAAATGCAGCCGCTTCTGCAACTTCCAGCCGGATGTGATGAGCCAGGCAGGGCATATCTCCCTCTGAAGCGGTAGGGGCTGAACGTGCTGCTCCCACAGCCCGCCGGGCCAGGTGGGACCTCATCTTATTGCAGCGATGGGGCCAAGCGCAAAGCCTGCCTCTGGATCCCAGTCCGGATTTGGTCCCCGGGCCCTCGTTGGCATGCTCGCTCCTGCCCCGTTCACGCCCACCAGTGCCACGTGAGGCTTCCCACCGTGACACTTGCTTCTCACGCGAGCGTGGGGGTTTCCTCCTCTCCAGAGCCCACCACTGCTGCTGAAAGGAGCTGGGCCGGGGCCGTCGGGCTGGTGAGCCACGACAGCTGAAACTGGGAACTTTTTGCTCTGCGGGCAGGAAGCCGAGTGCTTCCTCTCCAAGCTGGAGCTGACTTTCATTTGTTGGTTCACAGGGCTGGTTTTGCAATCCTGTAAGCCCCTGGGTGGTAGGAGGGGCCTCTCTCGACCCAGCAGGTTTCATTTTCTTGCATGGCTCAGGGGCGAGAGTCCAGCTTCCCAATATCCTCCCATCCCTCCGGTCCCTTCCGTCTCATGCCGATCGCGGGGAGGAGGCTTTTTGGCTGCTTTTGGAGGTATGTTAATAGGCTGACTTTTTCCTGAGCTTTATCAAGGCGCAGTAGAGCCGGGAAGGTAAGGGCCAGTGTCGGTGCCGGATGGTCTAAGTGATTTGCTTCGTCGGGGGGCTGCTGCCCTCTGCCAGGTACGGTCAGACCTCGCTCCGCCAGCTCTCGTCCGTGGGAGAGCCCCGGGCGTTAAATCCCAAGGTCGCGCTTCCTAGCCAGGCGGTGACATCCACGCGTCGTGCGCGTCCGAAGGCGTTGCAGTCGGCATCTTGCGGGAACGGGCCTGCGCTCGGCGCTGCCAGCTGGGGGAGGTTTCTCTCTGGACCCAGGCTGCTCCTCTGAGCCTGTGGCTGGTTTAGGAGAGAAGGAAACAAGGGCTAGGATGTTGGGGACACGTGGGGAAACCTCCCTTTTCCTCCCAGCGAGACTCGCTTTCTCCTCTCTGCTCCGCAGCTCTGAGGCAGCCTGCCCTCCCGCTGGAAATGCAGAGCACGCCGAACTACCTCTGGTACACGGACGATGTCTTGGGCCAAGGCGCTACGGCATGCGTGTACAAAGCGCGCAACAAGGTGAGGCGGCGGGGCGGTGCTGGGCTGGCAGAGCCGCGGTTCTCCTCTCCATCGCAGGTTGGCACAGGCGCCCGCCTCGCTCGGTTCCCTGCCAGCCGCTCGAGCTGTCCTGTTCGCCCTCGGTGACGTGGCCAGGCCACCTCTCGGCTTCCTGCTGGACTCTGATCTCCCAGCTGCCGAGCTCTGCTTCAACACCCCTGGATCCCCAAGTGCTAGGATTTTCTAATGCACCTCGCCCCACTTCGCTACAAGCTGCCAGCTCGTCCGACACGCTGCCCTGTAGGCTGCTGATGCCCTGCTCTCAGCTGTGCTCGAACTTGTCCTAGGTTTCACTTCTCTTGGCTTGGGGCCCTGTTGCATCCATCTCTTCAGGTCTCGGGGGCCAGCGACCAGGGCTATGCAGATAGTCCTGCATTTGGACGGTAGATCGTCGCTATACAGCCCCTGCGCTGCACTTGCAATGAGCAGCCTTTCTCAAGCTGGGAATAGCAGCTGCAGGATCATCCAGGGCAGCTGCTGTTCATCTGATCCAGGCCGTTTCCCCTTTCGACGCTGCCTTGTCCAGGCCTTCCAGGACGTGGGGTCTTCAAAATGCCGTGGCAGATTTCTGCTCCGAGTCTAAACTCCCCCTGAGCTCGGTGGGGAGGAGCTGGTGCCTGCTGAGTGCTTTTGAAGCCTCCCCACAGTAATTTGCACGTTTCGTGCACGCTCTGCGTGTTGTGTGATATTATCCCGCTGGGATAGACGGAGGCAATTATCGGTTTCGCTCCTCTTTGAAGTTTTGAGTTGTCCCTGCTCAGAACCGGGCCTTAGACAGGAGACTGTGTCTGTGGTGATTTAGAAACAGCTAAATCTCATGGGGAAAGTGAGCGTGGGGGGCTGGAAAGGGGGTGACACGATTGGACCTAGCTAGCAATTCCTTTCCAGCTTTGAGTAAATGCATCCCTAATGGTGCCTTTTATTTCTGCCTGTGCTGAACGCTGCCCAGGCTTCACCGCTGGAGAACGCGGGCCCCGCTGTACACAAACACTTACCTGGCAGGGGAAACACCATGTATCTGGGTCTGTGAAGACAGTTTTGCTTTAAGCATTCCCAGGGATAACTGTTCTTCTGGCGTGGTTTAGTATCTGCCAAGGTGTTGGGGCTTTATGCAAGTGGGAGGCTCCTGCCTAGCTTGCTCCTGCGGCCATATGGCTGAGGGCAGGTGAAACTTGGGGGCATCTGAACCCCACGCCTCCGGGCTTGGACCTGCACGTATGATGCCCGCCAAAAGACTTGGCAAATATCTGAAGCCCCTGGTAGGAGTGGAAGATGTTTGCTGGTTGTAGGGCCACTTATGTTTCTGGACTGACTCACGGATTTGGCTTGGAACATGAAAAATTTCTTTAAAGAGTTGGAGAGTAAGTTATGGAGCCTGTAAAGGGAGCAAAAATATCATCTGCGTTGTTTGCTTTCAGAACTGGGGCAAATTAACACTCACCGAGCAAAGGGATGAGGGCACCGGGCAGGTACAAGGCAGGGGTATGAGCCCAGTGGGCAGTAACTGGGCCATGGGGAAGCGGTGGGTCCTGGAGGGGAACGTTTTCAGAAGGGCACGGAGGGATGCTCGACTCACCCTGGGGGCCAGGTCTCAATCTCCCCTCTCCTCCTCTGGACTCATTTTCCTGGAGGTTTGAAATCCTGCTGGGGTGACGGGCAGAGCCAAGCAGCCTGGCCAGGAACGAGGGCTGGGGAAGGGAGGATGGTGGCGTACTCACCACGGTCTGGTCAGGCACTCATTCCCATTTGTCATGGCCAGAAATCGGGAGAGCTGGTTGCTGTGAAAGTCTTCAATAATGCCAGCTACATGAGACCCCAGGAGGTGCAGCTGAGAGAGTTCGAGGTGCTGAGGAAATTAAACCATAAGAACATCGTCAAACTGTTCGCAATTGAAGAGGCCGTAAGTGTGTCCTCGTGTCTAAATGCGAGCGATGCGGCTTTTCAGCACCTGGCACTGGCCTGGACCAGCTCACGCTGAATAAGTCATCTCGTTGCCGCTTCTCCCCACCCCGACTCCTTACTGTTTCCTCCCCAGGCCCCTTGCAGTTGGCCCCCGTGCAACCTAGGAGGGGGGCGGCTCCAGACTTGGAAACCGGCTTCAAGTGCTGAAGTGGCTCACTAAAGCCCAGAGACCAGCTGAGCAGTGCAGCGAGGAGCAGGACCCACGTGTCCTGGCTGCTATCCTGGTGCTGCAGCCATTAGCTCGGCTGCTTCCCTCTCCCAGTGAATGAGGCCAGATCCGCCCACTCGAGATCCCTTTTTCAGAGTTGTGATGCATTATGTTGTGTCCGATGTAGGAGTTAGAGCCTGCGCGCTCCAACGTGGGCCGTCCGTCCCATCTGATGGGAAGAGCCCAGTAGACGTGATGGACAAGGGAGGGACCCCAGTGACGGGGAGGGGTGTGGGGCACGGCTACCCACACGCAAACTCCTTGCATGGTGGGTTGCTGCCATAGGATCCTGCTGACGGCTCTTCTCTCTCGCCTCTGTCCCCAAACCCAGGGAAGCAGCAAGCAGAAGGTGCTGGTGATGGAGTACTGCTCAAGCGGGAGCTTGCTGAATATGTTGGAAGATCCAGAAAATGCCTTTGGCTTGTCTGAGGCCGAGTTCCTCATCGTGCTGGACTGCGTCGGTGAGTCTCGGAGCAGTTAGCTCGGGCATCGCCAACAGGAAAAAGCAATAACCTTGCACTTGGAAAAATCAGCTTATGGGGTTATGAATGGGCAGTGCTTTCACAGCCCTGGCCTGAAAGCCTCGGTCTGCCAGGTCAGAGGTAGTTGGGTGAATGGGCGTCTGTGTGCTGCACAAGAGCTGTTGTTGGGCTGAACCGGTCAGCAGCATCACCCTGCACTCCTCAGCAGAGATGCTTGAATTTTGACAAGGCGCTTGGCCTCGCCAGGCCTGAGCACCGAGACACGAGTCTTTGCGCTCCCCGGTTTCTAGTCTGGGATAGCTGTGCGCCACCTCCAGAGAAGCTGATCACACAGTAGACAAAAGCTTAGTCTCCCTGTTGCGTTCATAGTGGCCGGCATGAACCACCTGCGGGAGAACGGCATTGTCCACAGAGACATCAAGCCGGGAAACATCATGCGGCTGATGGGGGAAGACGGGCAGAGCGTCTACAAGCTCACGGACTTTGGGGCTGCTCGGGAGCTGGACGACGACGAGAAGTTTGTGTCCGTCTACGGTACAGAAGAGTATCTTGTGAGTCCGACCAGACCCCGGGAGGGGAATGAGGAGGCATGTGGGAAGGAAGTGTTGTTCCTGGTAACGTAAGTGAGTTAGACCAGTCGGAGCATTGGCTGATGTTGTCTTTAGCATATAAAACCATCGTGGCACCTCGCTTCCATGCAGCACTTTCCCTCCTTGGGTATTGGGAAGCTTCCCGGGGGAGACCAGCATTGCAGACGGGGAGATAAGCCCAGAGGAGCAGCAGCTCAATCTCCACGACCTGCC